CCCCCCCCCCCACCCCCCCCACCACCACCACCACCACCACCACCACCACCACAAAGGTGTAGGGCTTGAGCACAGCCAACGTTTTTACCCGGACAGATGACTTGACTGAAATGTGATTAAACTCACGGCTCCCAACGGGACCTCAGAGCGTTAGCTGTACTAAAGCCATCCCCCTCTGTCGTTGGTTACAATCCCACCGAAGCCGCCGGGTCAGGTGTATTATTAAACTGCCAGTAATTACCTACTAAATAAGTAAACCTGACAGCATTTGGATGGATTTTGCAGGAAATCCTGCTTCGACAAACGGCTCAGAATTGGTGGATTCCACGGGTCGCAGTAAGCTAAGCCATAACATTCACGGCTCTCAGTGGGGGGCCTCGTAGCTCAGGTGACTGGGACGTTGGCTTGCTCTTGCTGTCGCCTTTTCAGATCCCACCGAGGCAGTCGAGTTTTCACAACTTTGCCAAGTGAATTATTAAATCGAGGTCTAGAAACAACTAATTTAGCTTTGATGTTAGGCCCCCAAATTGTTTGCATTTGATGTGAGAACCTCGCATATCATTTTCCAATAATTTCTTTGCGTATACTTTTTTTTTAAAAATATTAATTTTCACATGGCTCCATACTTTAGACTTCGAAATGACGCCGTCGCCAAAAAAGAAACGCCAGGATACTGAGTCTGGTAAGAGGAGCTTTGGTCCCTGAAGTCTGCCAATTTTTTATTTTTCCGTGTTCTGTATTGAGCTCCTTTTTCTTAAGAAACCGACCAATCAATCCGCTTTTCCTCTTTTATAGAATCAGAAGAACTGTTGTGCAATTTCTGTCAGAAGTCTTTCCCATCAATATCAGCTCTCAGTGCCCATCACATAACGTCTCACCCGGGTATGTCTTGTGTGTCCTTTCGAATTTTCCATTTGCTGTCTGATTGTGTATGTGATTTGGGAGAAGCGGAACTTCCAGCCGCTCTCTATTTAGCGGTATTTTTGAAATAATCCAACTACGAGCGGTCTCCGCAGATTTTGCCCTGTTTTCAAACGCAAAATAGAGGATATTTGGGGTTCAGAATCCTCGTTGACAGCCGTTTCTGGCTTGTTGGCACTTGTCAGCCGGCCATTGGGTTTGGGTCACCTTCTGCTGGCGACTACAAGTAGACCAGCTGTATTTCTCCCAACTTAACAAATCCTTTCGGCCTAGATCGATTACTGTCTGTGAAGAGGACTGTTGACGGAGTCGCAATGTTATACGTAGAAGTTGCCAGACGAAGCACACTAAATCAGTAAGCGTAGGTAAAAGTGCCAGGCTGGTAGGGCGATTAGCTTTGTAGTTGGACCGACCGTGTCAAATGTGTTATTTTTAATTCTCGTGGCCGGTCCAGTGTGAATCTTATTGTGCAGAGCGGGTGAGTGGCAGACTGAGAGTCAGGCTGCAATGGCTCCTTCTTGATGTGGCCGTTATGGCACTTCCACTAAGCTGGGATTCGAGCCAAGTCGGTTGCACACATAGGTGCAGAAGCACGCCGCGCCAGCTTCCATGTCCGATCCCGCCTCCGGTCCCTTTCACTGTGTCTGGTCACAGGACCCCTGTGCGTGAGCAAGAGAGAGTGCG